TCGAGACATGAGCTAATCAGAACTATTTGTTTTTTTTAACCAGGCTGTAAACATGTTAATCTCTGCTGTAAAAACAGGCTTTTTAGAATGGGTGTGTATGTGACTTCCTGTGCTTCTGCAGCCAGCCTCTAGTGGACACTCGACGAACTGCAGGACTTTGCACTTCCACATCAGCTTCATTTTTCAACACCGGAGGTTGCTGCTTGAATTAGACGCTGGTAAATATGTATATATTGGTTTTTTTCCGAAGGAGAGGAAAAGCTGCTGTTTTAAGTTTGTAACAAAAACAGACCTAAATAGTAGGCAACAATGAAGAAGATGTAGAGGGAACTCTCATCAGCAGTGGATTAACAAAGGTCAGTACGTGATGGAAAAGTACAGTTTTGATTGTGCCAAATTAAGCACCACACTGTGTGCATTGTGATGAAGGACAGGAGTGGCTTACTCACTGTTTCTGTGTAAAACTGTTCAGTGACAGTCACAGTGTTTGTCCTGGTTTGCCAACAGAAGGTCAGCAGACCGACTCAGGAAACACTGTGTGGTTTTAACCCAGATTTGGCTCATTTTTTCCGGCTCATGGTGAGTGTGCACTTCTTTCCAGTTAGCAGTTCAGGTCATGGTGGACGGTTGGCACAGAGCAGCTTTAATTAGTATGTGCTCACCTCCTGACCTGCTGAGCGCTGCCGTTTTACTTCAAATCCTGCAAACTGGCCGCGCCTCACAGAGATTTTAGACGATTTTGTATCTTTGAAGAGCAAACACAAACAAATCATAACCAACTCTGGTAGCTGTGGTCTTCAGTTCAGAAAAGTTACACTGTAAATTAAATCATATTTAAAGACCCCCAATCTTTCTATTAGCAGTAAAATACATGAACAACATCCTTCTGTGTGTCGTTTTGAACGCCTCATCTCAAAACGTCAAAAAAGTCACAAACATAACTGAATTTGCAGTAAAAGATAAATGACTAAAAGCTGCATGTAGAGTTATTTAAGGTCACTGGGGGGCAGTGAAGTAAGCTCAAAACCATAGACTGTAAATATGAATGTTTGAAGCCTGAGTGACGTTACCCGTCTGTTCCTGCAGGGGGCGCTTGTGTCCGATCGATGGCGGCCTCCATGCTGGAAATTCTGTCTCAGTCTAACTTTCAGTCAACCTAACGACAGGCTGAGAGCTGGAGCTGAGGCGGGTTTTAAGCCTCCTGACAAACCGTTACACCGCGCCCACCTGTCAATCAGGTCAGCTACACACCTTATTGTGAATAAGTCTTATCCTTCATCAAATCAAAATGGATGAGTCATCAAAACATTCACCCCCCGTACAGTGTGTGTCGATCGAGACATGAGCTAATCGGACCTATTTGGTTTTTTGAACCAGGCTATAAACATGTTAATCTCTGCTGTAAAAACAGGCTTTTTTGAATGGGTGTGTATGTGACTTCCTGTGCTTCTGCAGCCAGCCTCTAGTGGACACTTCAGCATCGGCTTCATTTTTCAACACCGGAGGTTGCTGCTTGCTTAAAACACACAACACTGACTTTAAATCCTTTATAATACTTTGTCCACATTTTTACACTTCAAGCAGAAACATAATTAGAATTTTCTTATTTTGAAGTCGTGTTTTGGTCCACTTAGTGAATGAGAGCTGAGTACCTTCTGTTTCGGCCTTCATCTTGAGAGACCAATCTGAATCTTCTGTTTGGCAATGTCCCCATCTACTGTAGTTGCAAACTTAGTCCATAAATGCCTCTTTTATATTTTCTCATGTATTATTTCCTTGAGATTCACATAAAGGTAATATAATAACCCCAAGTCATTACGTATGCTGATGATACCCGGCTGTACCTCTCACTGAAACCCTGTGATCCCTGCAGTGTTAGCTCTCTTTTAAAGTATGTTGAAGATGTAAGATCCTGCAGGGGAATACATTACTTCAGGGTAAATCTATCGTCATAATGTTAAGCTCTAAATTTAAACTCTATCCTTGATTGTAGTTTTTAATTTGGATGAAAAAAAAACAGAATTGGGGAAGCCAGCTCTCATTAGGAAATTATTTCAACAGTTGTCTTTACTAGCTTCTCCCCTCTTGGATTCATTGCAGAATTAAAATGATGCCTGTTTTTTAAGGACTTCTCAGATCTGTTATCCAGTGCCTGGTGACCACGCAGGTTTTCTCTGGACTTGAAAAATCTGCATTTAGTTTTTTGGCTCCAAAACTGTGGAATAATTTCAGACACACTCTCAAGATGGACACTTGTGTTTCTCTTGGACTGATTAATACAATAATCTCAAACCACTTCATCACAGTGAGCGATTGTTTCAACTGAGAATCATCCTGTTGTTTTTTAAATTCTTAATTTGTTGATGCTGATGCTGTTTGTGTACAGACTTAATCAAAAATATAATTACAAATCTACTTCAATCATTGTTTTATCATTCCTTTGTCCTCTTTTCATCACTTTGGTCGATGCTTCCTTCTCTCTCTAACTTCACCCACCGGACTCTCCTGGTTTGTGGTTTGTTGGGTATGTAAGTATACATCAGGTGTATCAGGGGAAAACACTAATGTGTCTATAGTCTGTCTACAAAACCCCAAATGATGAGAAAAGTCCATTCTTTCCATCTTTTGCCTGCTCCACCTTTCAGAAAATGTGTGCTCAAACAGGCCGTTTGGAGATTTTCCCTTCATGACATCACAAAGGGCAGTAACCCCTCCCCCAGGTTGGTGACACTCCCACAGCTAGGTGTTTGTTCTGCCCTCTGAGTCTGCCTTCTCACCGTAAACAATAGGACATGGAGCGAGAAAGCCCGAGACACCCAAGCCCTTCCAGAGAGGGGGCGTGGTCAGACACAGCTCATTTACATTTAAAGGTACAGACACAGAAACAGCCTGTTCTGAGCAGGGCTGAAATAGAGGGGTTTATAGGCATGATCAAATACAGGATCAGAGTGCATTTAGAACAAGAAACTTCACACACAGCTCTGAGACTTATTTACACTGGTTGAAGAGGAGGATGATATTTGACCTTTAAGTGACTCATTTTATATTACAAAAAGTAAATCAGTCTATTTGTATAAAAATAATTATTAATGCAGCTTTAATGATAAAGAGCTTAACCTGAGCGCACTGTGCAGAACATCCACAATTTAATTATTTCCCCTTCTTTACATGCTAATCACTAAAGTCTGCACATCCCCCATGACTGTTTTCCACTTTCTTTCTGTTGATTAGAGTTGTTTGTTTTAGTCTAAACGGTCTAAATGCTTGTCAGTTATTCATCTTTTTTCACTCTTCAGACTTACACCTTAACAAATCTAACACATCTGTTATGTGTGTCTGCAGCACACACATACATTCACCATTTTAGGGAAGGGGTGTGAGGTGCAGCCCTGTTCTCTCTGTTTCTCCCTCTACCTGCTTCACACCTGTTCTCTTTCTCCTTCATTCTCCCTCCTCCCTCACCTGCTGCACACCTGGCACAGATTACCTTTGAGGGAGGTAATCTGTGCTCATGGAGGAGGAGGAGGAGGGGTATTTAGAGGAGCCAGGTTCCCCTTTTTTACTTTCCTGAATTTAAAGTCTCATGAATTATCTTACTCCAGAGTTCATGCCTCTTAGGGATAGTATTGTATCAAACATGTATAAATGGTGTTATATTTTTACTAGTATTGTATCAGATTTAAAAGAGCTAATATCTTGACTACTTTAAATAACTTAAACTTTGAGTTACATAAACCTTAATGATGAATTTAAAAGTGTAATATAAGAAACTTTTACGCATTTGAATCTCTGAAAAGGTGAAGAAAGAGTAAAGCATCATCCTTTACTCGACCACTTTGACCTTTACAATGACCATTACGACTTAAAGAGAAAGAAATCCAAATAAAATCTAGAAACTTATTTCAGGACCAGTAAGGACCCTGTCCTCCATTGTTGCCCTGGGAAGTCAGATACACTTTCCCCCCTCGCTCCTACATCCATGAGTTGCTGCCCTGGTGGTGGCTTAGTGAAGTCCAAATAAATTAATTTAACAAAGTTAATCATACGCTCACTGTTAAATTATGAAGAGAAACTTAATTCCTCCAATGCTCTCCCTTTCATTTTGTCCCTCTGGGGTCCTCTGACACTCTTCCCCCTCCTCTGATCTCTACTTCTGCTCTTCGGCCCACATCATCACAGCCTGCATGCTGTCTGCAGAAACAAAGAGCTGTATATTCTCATCACGTTTCCTGCAGCTTCCAACCAAAGCAGAAAGCTACGATTTAAGGCCTCACTCTCTCTCAGCCTCCCTCACCTCGGTGGAGCTGCTGATGCCGAAACACCCTCGGCACTCTGTGATAGAAAAAGTGTTGAGTTGCAAATATGATGTGCAGGAAAGCTCACTGCCCCCCTAACCGAGCCATAACTAAGCTTTCTATACCTGCTGATGTGCACCTTTCACCTGGTTAGAGTTGTGTTAATTATTTGAAAAGACAGAAACATAAATACTGCAAAAGAGGAATAATAAAAAGCATTTTACATCCACTGATCGAGCTGTGTGTAGGAGTGGTTCATTTCAGAGCAGAATTGTTGAAACACACTTCACTGCTAATTTAGCCCTATCAGTCCTCCATAATCCCCAAGGTGTCATGGCTCTGCTACAGACCGATATGAGCGACTTTATCTGGAATAATGAGAAAGAGCGAGGACAGCCAATTACTGTTTTATCCCGCTTGTTTGCAGACATGATAACACACATCTGTATAAAGGAGGAATGAGGGAAAACATGTAGAGACTGGAGGTGTTCTGCAGGACAGAGCCATTTAATTTTAATGTGGTAATGCTAATAACCAGGATTTCTCACTTGCACTGAAGAAGAAGAAAAATAAGAAGAGGAGGGGCTGCAAATTGCCGATACTTGGCTGAGTTCTGACGCCAGCACTGAAGTGATGTAAGAGACGGAGGGAGGGAGGAAAGCCGAGAAGGAGGAGAGAAGAGGCAGAGAGAGAGACAGAGAGAGAGAGAGAGAGAGAGAGAGAGAGGTTCCGAGCTCCTCACTTTCTGAGACCCAGACGGAGAGCAACTCCCCAGCGGGGATACGAACTGAGGTAGGCGGATTTTATTTCACTCATCCACCCTTAAAAAATATGGAAAACATAAAATATCTCACATTTGGTTTTGATTTTATTGCAAAAGATTAAAAAAACTGATTTTTGTGTAAGTTTAGCAGTGCCAAGGTCTAATGCGTGATATAAATACATGAAACACGTTGATTTGGAAGGTACTGCTGCTGTGTGGGTGTCGCGTTACCAACTTGAATGCATCGTGCAAACTGCAGAAATGACTCCGTACAGAGCCAAAATCTGTGAGGTTATTTGAAGCCTGCTAATTAATTAATGACGTGAACGTGACGTGAGGATAATATCTAATGAGCCCTCTTGGTTTATGTGTTTGTCCAGCACACTCGGACTGGAGCAGAGCAGACTGGGGCTCCAGGATTCAGCACCTTGGACAGCGACGCACCGCGGCTCTCACTCTCTGCGCATCCGAGGGAAAGCGCACAGAGCCCGGGCACCCATCAGCGACCCTCGCGGCCAGGACATGGTGCACTCCTGCCTCTGCTCCTCAACGGGTCGCGATGGGCTCTAGTCCTGTAGAGAAATGCCCTTGACAGCAGTGAGCACAGAGTTGTTTTCAGCATGACGGCGGCGCAGGAGACCGAGCAAGCAGGGGAAGAGTCGGTGTCGAAACTTAAAGACTAAACCGTCGCATGTTTGAACACAGTTGAAGCGTGTTTGCCCAAACATAAAGCTCAATCAGTTCTCACAGGACCATGGGGATAAGGCACCTTTTGTTGCTGCTGATATACCTGGACCCTCTGAGCGTGCTGAGCGCCGCTACAGGCGGGAAGAAACCCAAGCAGGCGGCCAGGAAGGCTCCCAAAGCCACTGCGGTCCCCACGGTGGCCCCGCAGACGACCCCGAAGCCAGCGCCCGTCAGCAACCACGACACCTGCCTTGGGTACTACGATGTCAGCGGGCAGTATGACAAAATGTTCGAGTGCAATAACACGAACCACAGGTACTGCTGCGGCACGTGCTTCCTGCGCTTTTGCTGCGAGTACAAGAAGGACCGGCTGGATCAGAAAGCCTGCACGAACTACAAGTCCCCGGACTGGGTGCAGCCGGCCGATCCGTCCCCCATCCCGACCGGGGAAACGTACGATCCCAGCATGGACCAGACCAGCACGGCGGTTTACATCACCTGTGGGATCATAGCCTTCATCATAGTGCTCGGAGTGTCGGTCAAAGTGGCGTACGACAAAGCTACAGAGCCGCCTCAGGAGATGAACATACACAGGTAAGCGCGTCCACAACACAATCTGCACGAATCTGCTCTTTCCTTTCAAACGTCATTGTAACAGAAAAAATCAAAAACAAAGCCTCCTAATCATGATCATCAGATGCATATGACTCAGGCTTGACAGACACACAGCCCCCTCTGCACACGGGGGTCAAATCATGCCAGAAAATCTCATCAAATGTGACAGATTTCATTTCAACACAATACAAGTGAGCTTGTCTTTCCCCATAAATGAAGGGTGAACGAAAGAAAGATATAGTTTTCTCTTTCTGCTTTAAAGTCTAATTTTCCTTTTACTTTAGATGAAAATATTTCTTGGCTCAGATTGCACAAAGAGCAGTGATGTTTCATGTTGCAGGGTCTTCATTAAATACATCTGCAGGTGCAACTATTCTGCTTTCATAAAAAAAAAAAGATTGTGTGCATATGTTGATTTTGAGTTCCTCAAGTTAGACATTTTGCTTCAGAAAGATTTTTAAAAATCGTTATATCTGGCGTTTTATTTAATTTCAACCCCTGTGTCATGAAACCTGAAGATCTTGCACAGACAGACAGACACACACACACACACACACACACACACACACACATACACACACAGAGGCCTTTAATGAAAATCAGACTTTAATGTGTTTAAATTAATTAGAAGATTCTTATCTGAGGACTAAATGTGACGAGCACTTTTCAGATCCGATTCCATCAGATGGGCAGCAGATGTTCAAACCCACAGCCTCAAATAATTAAATAATTACAGAGGAGTTGAAAGAGAACTGTAACAGGAATTGTGCAGCTCATTCAGTCTGTGTGTGTGTGTGTGTGGGGGGGGGGGGGGGGAGTGTGAAGGACTGATGTCCAACACTCATCTGATTTTGTTTACTTTATATTGCAGATAAAATCTTTTTGTTTGTGAAGCTGGGGGGGGGTTGTAATGTTCGCTTGATTCTTAGGGACAAAAACAGCTTAAATTTCTCAGCCTCGCTCAGATTTTTATTTAAGATTTAAGCACCAGATACATCACTGGTGAGGTAAAGTATGAACACAAACGTAACGAGAAGGTCTCAGGGAGAGTCTAGAGAGAGAACATAAAAGGGAAATCAATGAGGTTTGTTCAAATACGACGGAATAACAAGGTGATTCATAGGATACCTCACAAAATCTGTCCTTACGAGCCTTACATATTTGACTCACTTGGCCCAGAGTGTAACACATCTTTCTGGCGATGCAAAAGGCGTTAAATAACACGAATGTCCTTTTTTATATCGATCCAGTCTTGCTTTGTTGGATGACCAGGAGAACAATGTTTGTAGGGCAGATATTTGGCTCATGAGGCAGCCAAGTCAGCTGTCAAACATCTTTCCCACAATCCTTTGCACCCTGCCTCCTCCCTGTGCCCTTGCCCCCGTCCGACATCTGCACACATCTGTCTCCGGGTTTCAGGTGGGGCTTTGGCCAGAATGTTTAGCAGAGGTGGTGAACGTCTTTCCTCTTACCTCCTCAGCTGGCTCCTGCCTCCTCCTCCTCCTCCTGCGGCGCCTCCCTCTGAGCGCTCTCATACTTGAGTGGACCACATGTTGTAAACTGTTCCCACATCAGTTAACAAACGCTGACACACATTATTTCCTCAAGATTGAGTAGCTTTTTTTTATTGGATGCATTATTCAACACTTGAGCAATCTTAAGACTGTGAATAATGGATGGTGTTAACGTTAGGGCTGTATCAAGGTCGGGTGACATGCATGCACCGCTGCACATTCAATAAGTAACAGGAAGAGTGGGAGGGGGGAAGGGGGGTGTAAATGGTGAGGGGTGAGGCTAAAATATTAATTTAAAAAGCAAAGGTTATATCGCGGATATATTTGTCTCAGAAGCTTTGAGCCGCTGCAGAGCTGCAAAAGTAATTTTCTTTTTTAAACAAACACTTTTTGAACTTTCTTTCATCATGATTGCTTCTCCCTCTCCTCCCCCCTCTCTTCCCCTGCTCCCCCCTCGAGGGCTCCTTCCTTCATATGCACCTGGTGCAGTCTGAAAACAAAAAAACATTCAAATTCAACCCAATTAGACCAGAGAGAGAAGCTCTCACACATCCAATGTTGTTTCTCTTGCAAATGAACATTCATCATGTTCCCACACGTTATAAAAAAAACAAAAACAAGAAGAAACAGATCAGCTCTGAATTACTCATAATAGCACGACACTTAGCTGCAATTCTGGGTGCAGAAAACAGACGAGCTATGACTTATTTTTTTCCACTCAGTTCAGCTGCACTCAGAGAGAACAACTGAACTAGAAGAGGAACATCTTTTGGTTGCATTACTAACAGTCTGCTTGTTTTGTTTTGTCGGTTTCAGGGCCCTCGCAGACATCCTGAGGCAGCAGGGGCCCATCCCCATATCGCAATACGACTGTGAGAACTTTGCAGCGATGAACGGCTCACCCAAAGACAACACACCAGTCAGAACCTCATCCAAGAACCACTACACCCCGGTGCACGCCTCCAAATCCAACCACGGTAAGAGCTCTCCTCTCCCTGCACCAGTTGATGTGTCATGACGCTGCTCGAATTCAGTTTGAAGGCAGATTTCAGGACTTGAATCCTCCCTACACTCTATCTTTGTGAAGCTTTTGTGATATATTCTTTGTTTCTTTTCAATACTCTGCGTCCCCCACCAAATATCCCCCGCTGTGCTCACCCTTTCAGCAGTGTAATCTCCGATGTTAACATCCAGTAATCATCCGATTTGTGTGTTAGAGTGCAGGCAGAGCGACAGAGAGAAACAGAGGCCTGCTAGTGGAGATAATTACAGGCTGGGAGGTAGCGCGGCCCTGCAGTGTCTGACAGGCTGGAAGTGATGACCTCTCAGTCATTCTCTAGGTGAATCACACACGGCGTGATTTAACCCCACGATTCAGAGAACAGACAGGGAGCATCAATCGCTAATATGGAGGAAAACTGTGCAGGAAAAACAGAAGGAGCAGCGGAAATTGGGAGGTTCTCCTGCGGAGAAGGTTTTTATCAGGCTGAGAGGACGCACAGCAGCACCAATTTGTAAAGAAATATTCCAGCATTGCAGCATTTAAGAAGCAAACAGTTAATTAAGCAGCTGTCAAAGCACCAACATGAGTGTTTTTAGACTGGGTAAACATTATGCAATTGTAAAAAAGGCATGGTGGATGGTTATCTCAGACTGAATGAGGGCTGAGATAACCTCAGAAGCTCATGATGTATGCGCTCGCACTGTACGAGTTAGATCAGGACGAACGTCAAAAATGTTCAAGTTCCCTTTGAAGACTCCCACAGATGGAAGTTAAAGTTATGTCACTCAGTTGTTGCATTTGCATGGCTCAAATACAACCAGTGTCAAAAGCACACTCGTTCTCTCTCAAATACACACACACACGCACGCACACACACACACACACACACACACACACACACACACACACACACACACACACACACACACACACACACACTCAGCATCACCAACAAACACAAGCCAACTAACAATCCAAACCATCACAGATATTCTGTGATGAGGTCTGCAGATGTTTCCTGCCGACGTTTCTCCCGTTCATTTTCTTGGGTATTAGGAGGAGGGAGACACGTCAAAAATGGATGTCTGGTGTTGCCATGGTGATTTCAGACCTCAAGTCGAGGAAGTAGCTCGTGATTCTGCGTTCACTGTGCGAGCGAGAGGATGCAGTCCCACGACTAAAATTTCATACATGCCAGAGATAAATGCTATGTTCGGCCCTCGTACTTCTCTGTACACTGCACGGCAAATGACGCACAGTCCAGCTGAAATTCAGGCCGACAACAAAATCATTGGTGCAACTCGGAACTCGAACGCACAGTGTACGAGGCCTTTACCGCTGCTGCTTCCTTACTTACAGCTCATATTACTATTCTGTGTTCTTCCGGCTTTGACTGCATGAGTTCTGTTTTTGGATGGAGGGACAAATTGTCTGTTTCTAATTCTTCAAATAATGTCTGAAGATGCATCAATAAGTCACATTTTATCCATGCGGATTGTTTCGTCCTAAAGTTGCAATTCGAACACTGTTCGTTGTTGGAACTAGTAAAATGATTGGCCGAATGGTACCAGTGTCGATGTAACAGCAAATCCAATACTCAAAGGAGCACATAGTTTTTAATAACAACCGTTGTTGACAAGGTGCCATGAACATCTGTGCATTGACAATAGGTTCTAATCCTTGGCCGTTAAATACAGACCTGGGTGTGACTTAACCCAGGTTCAATTTAGGAACAGAAACCATTTGGTTAAGTCGAATAAAAATATCCTGTGGTCGGACTTGAACCTCTAGCCCTCATTGTCCCCCTTCCGGAGTTTTTGGCCTGCATGATGCTTCTGTTCCTGAGAAGCCCACTGAGCGTTGTCTAATGAGAAATCACTGTGTATTCCACACACAGTTAATGCTTCTGTACAGATTCATGCACATAAATCATGCTTACATGTGAACTGGTTACATTCATCTTCATGCATTTACTCTGGCAGAGCGCCACATTTACACCCTGAGGGTCTCCTAAATATACGAACACTAAACGACTTCAGCTCCTCGTTTGATCAATTAGCAACGAGCCATCGGATAAAATCAGGTAAATATTCAAACGCGTATAAACGAGGTCGAGGTGTTTTTCTGTAGCCTAAAGGCAGCCGTTTGCAGCGTGTGTGAGTGTGTGTGTGTGTGAGTGAGTGTGTGTGAGTGTGAGGCTTTTACAGGTTCTGACAGACCTGCAGCTGCATTCCTGAAGTTCTGACACCAGAACGTCATAACACTCGATGCACTGCATGTCGTTGTTCCGCTTCATTTGAGCTGCGAGGCAGCGGAAACATTTTTGCATCTTTGTCTTTAAATAATAGATTGTGCAAACTTCCAGCTTTATTTGGGTTTACAGACTCTCGTGTGTCGTGTAAACTTGGCCTCTTTCTGCCAAGTCGTCGTCGATCAAATTTTTTTCTCACAGAGTGGGCTGCAGAGACCACAGACTGCATTCATTCACTGAGCACCCCAGTGGCTGCATCAGTAAATTCCCAACGGTCACTATGCGGCAACGCGGGGGACGCGGCTGGTAGGTAGCTGCACGTGGCGCGCCGCCTTCAGACTGACCTTGCATATTCGCACACTCAGAAGAGGTCAGGCGTGACTTTATCTGTCTATCTGCCGCTCTGCTTGGCTGCAAATATTTTCCTGCTTGCACACAACCACTTCAACTCAGGCCTGGCCAGCTCAATCCACCCCAGCCAACGCCCCCGCCCCCCCCTCCCCCCTCATCAGGGACCCGAGCAGTCCTAACGGGTTTGGACATGAAAGGCAGTGACAGCGCAGGCGAGAGCGTGGTTAATGCGTGCATGGAAATTGGAAGCCCCACTCCAAGGTGCTGTGAAGAGGGAGCCACTCGCTCTTAGAGAAAATGCATATTCATGGTCGCCTAAATGGGCGTTTGGCAGCATGAGCGAGGAAGGAAAGGGGGGGGGGGGGGGGGGTGCAGGGCTCTTAAGGAAAGAGTCCTCTGCTCAGAATGTCTCTCAACATCCAGAAGCTTTTTGAGACACTTTTAATCGGGGGAGACCTCCTGAAGCGAGTGGCTAAAGGGCCCGAGAGGATCCTATCAACTTATTTCAAGAGCGGGGTGACGATGCCTGCGCGCTCTCAGCAGCAATCACTTCCTCAGCCTAGTGTGTTTTCATCTATAAATACAGACTCATTTATTTTTTCACATAACAGGCGTCGTGTGATGTCATGGTTCCCTGCTTAGCTACGGCTAATGTTAGCTTCAGCTTTACGAGATACAAGTTAGTCCATACTGAAAGAGTTAAACCAAAAGATACAAGAGGGAGAAAATCTCAGGGAAAGGATCCAAAACTACTTTTTAAAGGATGTCAAATTAACAAGATAAATGTGACATGAAAACCAAAATCTCACGCCAGAAATAAAAACAGACTCAGCAATGATTGAGTTTATTGCTCCCGCTGCTTTGACGGCGGTGTATGAATGTGTATGAATGGATGAGTTAATACTGATGGACTCTTTAAACAGCAGCCCCTCAGCATCCAGCACTGCACTGCAGAACGTCCCGGCATGTTCAGAACAATTTCTTCTTTTTTTTTTTTTTTTTTTTTTTAAACACGAGGCCTTGAGCAGAAAGAGAACAGACAGCATAATATGATACCAGCTCGTGTGCTGCTATATTTATTCACATCCACTCTGCATTGTTGTGGATCACATCCTCTTTAAGGTGGGGGTGTAAACACGCAGCGCCTCACAGCCTCAACACGAGCAGACATTGAACAGGGCGGAGACGCGTCTTCACAGGAGTTCGCCTTCACTAAAAGTAAACAACAAACGGCCGTCTGAGTGATGCAGTTTGGCCTGCAGCTCTCTGCAGATGAAGTCGATTTATTCACCAAACACAGGCTGAGATCTGCATCCTCTCTGTTCCTCCAATAGCGTCGCTGCGTTTCCTCTCTGATGTTTTGTAAATGCACAGAATGAAGACTGAAAGTTTTCAGGTAGAGCAGAGGTGAGGTCATCAAAGTATTCCATACAGGGACATGTATCAAATAAAACGGTAAGACCTCTGTTATTCTAACCACTGAAAAGTACCAAAGCTGTAAAAAAAAAACTTCAGATCTTCAGTCAGACTTTGAACAAAAGTTGCCGCCAGAGAAAGAGCAAGTATTTTCTAAATTGCAAAATGACATTGGCAATGAATTTGTGTTATTTCAACGTTAAGAAGAAGATATTTACCAACATTGGGTGAGCAGGACTTTTATTCTTGTTGCCGTTGAATTGAAGCAGGTATCAATTTTGTTGATTTTTACTAGAATCATATCAGGGCCTTACTCATAGCGCCGTTTCAAGCCGCGATATGTACGCCCCTGTGACACCTCACCATCAGTCTGAATGTCAGGGAGGTGTGACTGGTGGGACCAAGTAACCAAGTGACACCCCCCCCCCCCGTACCGTGTTCAGAGGGAGTCAGAGAGGCGTTACAGAGGAGAGACGGGATCAGCGCTGCGCTCGTGTGTGTGCATGTCTGACTGTGTGTGTATGTGGAACCCACCGCTGTGCTGTGCTTCTGCAATGCTGAAATGCAATGTCAATTTACCGAGTGCGACACCATTACTACGCCGTCGCTGAATCAATATGAAAGTACAAAGATATAGTGACAGCTGAGCGTAGTTGCGGCACTTTTGTTAAGAGAGAAGAGAGAATATCTCTGAGTTCATTCAACTGAAACCATAGAGAAAAACAATGACTCTCATGTAGAAACAAGAGTAAAGACAAACAGGATTTATGAGATATGGGTCTGTGTTTACAGCACCAGAAGGATCCGAACAACTAGAATGTGAATAATGTGCGTGTGTGTGTGTGTGTGTTCATGCAGAGGTCTGAAAGCCTTCAGCCATTCAGTTAATTTAGTCTGAGATGAGCGACCTCTCAGCTGAAGGTCAGCTGCTGTGGACAATTAGAGGTCGTGATGATAGGAAAACATTTCCAGCTATTTAGCAGCTCTGACATGACCTTCAGATATTTTCAAAGCACTAAGCATTCTGTGTGTGCGTGTGCGTGTGCATGTGTGCGCGCGCGTGTGTGTGCGTGTGTGTGTGTGTGCGCCCAAACAAGGAGTTATGCCAGAATAACAAAGCAGTGACTTAATTATTCGTGTTTTTCACCAGAAGGCTCTTTTATAATCACATCCAGTTGGTTCTCTTAAAGCTCATCAAACAGCCGAACATGAAGCCGTGGGTTCTGAGCGTCACGTCTCCACTCCGTCCTCTGGTTCATTGTTTTGTCGTAATCGTTGGAGTCGTGATTTATAACGAAGGGTGTAAATGTCAGTGTTTGGATCGAGGTTTGGGGTGAAGGCCGGGTCAGACCAAGATGAGACTCCAGGCTCCAAGTAGTCAGTGTTACAGTCATAACAGAAGTTAGTGATTCTGCATATGTTACGTTTGTAAAGTTAAGAACCTTAATGTCATAATGGACATTCAGTTTTCACTTTTTGTGACGTGGTCAGAAGGAGATGAATCTACTTTATGTGTATTTGTGAAGTCACAGGCAGTGGTTGTCTACAGGAGTGCACTATATTTAAAAGAGAGCCTGATTATTGACCCGCCCATGTTTGTTAACTGCAAGGTATGTAAACTCCACCACCAGGGGGCTCTCTGTCAAAACAGTGACAAAAGATGACGTTGAGGCTGGCGGGGAATCATGGGAGTGATTCTCTCCGCTAAATATTTGAGGTAATGTAAGAACCAAACAAAAAAATATATAACAGGTTTAGTTCATTTTTAATTAATTTATATATTCTAGTGTAAAGATTCTACATGTTACACCTTTAATAAAATGAGAAAGAAAAACTGGAACCCTTTTCAGTTTAATGCATTTAAGTGCACCACAACCACCCACTCAAGCTTCTGTGATAAATATAACGTAGAGTTATCACCTCTCTGACTGTGTCGACAAAGACTGAAGCAGAAGAAGCTTTTGTAAAAGTAGAATTTATTGTGAAGGTTTTAATCGTGTTTAAAGTTCATTATCTGATATCCTGTTGTGTACGGGGAACCCCGAGGACAGCCGAGCACGCACTCAGTGGAGTTACACGTGAACGAAACAGAAGCTAATTGTGAAGTGAGCTTCATGCATAGTGTTTTCTTTGACACTTCTTCCTAACTAGTCATGCTTCATATGTCTCTTCTATATAGTCTCCTGTTGGACCGAAACAGATTTTGGGAGATTTTTATCTTGTCGTCATGTGAGGGCTCGCTCACAGTTTCAAAGTGTTGAGATTTAAAATCTTTCGGTGTGGTTCAGGCTGCAGTGTCATGGTTTAATTTGAAGGTACAGACATTTTTATCATCGCCTATTAACTGCAGCGCCAGATGTGCACATGCAACACGGACACTAGAGGGTCATACTCTAGGACCGCTGACCGTGCTGCTTTCACTGACAAGTAAGGAGACTGTACAGCATGTGCAAGTTTAACCTTTGACCCAGCCGTGCACACACACATGCACATACGTACACACACACACAATTAATCCTTACTGCAGCTACCATATCTCCTCTGTGACCTTCCCATTGGTCGAATCATCATCACCCGCATGTTCAAATCAACATCTCTGTGCTGACTGCGTCAACATGTTTCATATAAATCTCCTCCTGAGTGTCAAAGCTCAGCCTCCCAGAGACCCCTGCCCTACATCGCATTATTGCCCCTTGCCCCCTTATTATTCTTATACAGCCGGACCTCTGGCCTTCTGTGTGTGTTTGTGTGTGTGTGTGTGTGTGTGTGTGTGTGTGTGTGTGTGTGTGTGTGTGTGTGTGTCTCCTTCCAGTAGCAGTTAATTATGGCCCTGTGCAGATCAGGACTCACTGCCCTGCATCATTAGTTTCATGAGGGGGCAGGGTTAAAGAAGAGGGGGCATGTTTCAGCCTGGGTGGTATTAAAACGCTTCTAAAGAGGCCTCCGTGTGTAGCTGGAGAATGAAGATATGAAGATATGCAGCTGGACAACTTTATCGAGATGATGCACACAGCTCCGTGTCCACTCCGGCACATCGGTGTCTGATAATGCTGTAAAATCAGAATACCATGTGAATTACCCCCGCCTGGCTGGGTTAAAGCGTAATCGACCTTGGGGGCGGATAACCTCCCCGATGCCAGCCACACAGAGCCACATCCTGCTCAGTTCATGGTATAATTATCTTATTATTCACATTTCCTCGTCTCTCACAGCTAATTCAAAGGTGTTATGTGTCCAGAGAAAAGTCTGATTAAAAAAATATTACCATATGAATCCTCTGCACCCGCTAGCCGCTGCTTCGTTGGGGTGAAAGTCACGATTTTTTCTTTGTATGAAGGATGATAAATTCCTAATGCGTAGCCTTCCCCAGCAGTTCTTCATGCTACCTCACCTTAATGAGCTGGGAGCGGAGCGGCAGGAGAGGAGGGGGATTGCTTTTGAAGGGTCTTTTAGATTAGTGGGTTGTCGCAGTGGCTCGTGGAGCGGCCTACCAATGACAGGGGTGACAAAGGAAGACAACAGTAGCGTGTGTGCGTGTCACACACAGAGCTGCTGCTATGATGGGATGGAGGGAAAAAAAGAGGCCGGCTGATTTTCTATCTGCAGCGAGCGAGCCGGAGTGATTGAGTTCAGAGTGCACGTGTGTAAGTGTTGAACGTGGGTGCTGGAAACATATTGCCTTTTCTTTTTGGGAGGATCACAACAATATGCTCGGCTGTATCGTTCACTTTTACATCATTTCCCACCTGTGTGCGCCCGAGGGAGAGAAACCATGGGGAAGTTTTCATTTGACACCATGACAAAAACCCGACTGAGAACATGATGGAACAGCACAAACAGCTTTTTCTTATCTGTAACAGGTTTCCAGTTTCCAGTTTTTATTTTGTAACCGTCTACCTGTTAAAGACGGATGTCTGTGATAAGCGCTAAGAATCCAATAAATGATCATATCAGTCAATCGACAAAATGATCATCGACAATTATTCTGAAAGTAAACTGAGAAAGGTGGAGTCGGAAGAGATGTTTGTTTCTTGGCCCCTCCTCCTGGGCTCAAGAGTTCAGCTGGCGTCGCTTATAATGTAGCCAATCAGACATTCAAGCCCTCAATTGAATATTATGGTATATTTTCTCTCATCAGAGCTGTAGCATAGTTTTTCAGTTTAGCCAAAACGTTTTCCAAAGCCTTACGGACCCACCTACACCGAGAACAAATATCTATTCAGTGAGGACTTAAAAGTATTGATTACAACTACTGTGTTTGCTAACTAAGCACATAAAGATAAAGGTCTTATGTCCCATACAACACTTCATGAAAGAAGTATATTTCATACACTTGTTATTTTCTTCGAGCGATGCCCCCTATGGCTGGCCGACGCCCCTAGCATTTGCCTAAACCACTGTCCGAACCTGTCACTCTCTTTCTCTCTCTCTCTCTCTCTCTCTCTCTCTATCTCTCTAACACAAACTAAGGTTTGTACTAAAGGCTTCTCAAACGTCTTCAGCTGAAATGTTTTTTTCAGTGAAAGACCAGCAAACCAGCACAGAGAGTATCTGAATGTAAGAGATGATGCCTGAAGAGGTGTCCAAGGAAGCAACGCTTTTATGAGTTCTGCAATAAAAAAAAATCTTTTTTTTTTTAAAGATTTTTGTTTCTCCGTTAAAACCTGAGGGTTAGATTCATACCTGAATAAATCATAAAAAAAGGTGTTGATGCAACAATTTACCCCCAAAGTCACTGATGGTTAAAGACTTTCATTATGTTCAATGATTGACTGAAAACTACCAAACTGATTGTGTTTTTGTCTGTGGTGTGTGTGTATGTATCTGTGTGTTCGTGTGTGCGCGTGTGTGTGTGTGTGTGTATATGTGTGAGCAGGTCTCCACTATGGGAAGGAGAGCGTGCGCAGCAGTGGAGGCGCTGACCTTCACAACTTCATCTCCTCGGGCTTTGTGACGCTGGGCCGAGGCCATCCCAAAGGTAAACCATCTTTTCTTTCCGTCTTTTCTTCTTCTCCTCTCACACAGGACTCTGAATTAACAACCAGTGTTCTGTGAACCCGCTGAATGCTAAAACAACCAGCGTAATGTTCATCTTTTAACAACAACAACAGGGACAACAAGGAGACCCAGACGGAGGTGAAATGTTTCCAGATTCAATTTCCCTCCTGAACAATTCAAGTGACCTCCTGCCTCGGCTTTTTGCAATTAAATACACACCAACACACACGTAGAGCTGCTTACAGGCAACAACGGGGTGGAGAAGGTGACGCCACAATAACACACACACCTACAACACACACACTCACTCACACACACACACACACACACACACACACACACACACACACACACACACACACACACACACAACACACACACACACACACGTCACACACACACTCAGCCATTAGTTGTGGAGCAGAGTTTTCCCGCGGGTAATTCACTGATTAGTATGCAGCCATGTTGGCCGAGCTCTTGTGATTTATTCTTGTCCATTTGGCTCCAAACACCAGACCCCGTGTTTGTGTGTGTGTGTGTGTGTGTGTGTGTGTGTGTGTGTGTGTGTGTGTGTGTGACCTCGGAGTGGTTTCAAGGCGAGCTCTTTTACCTGATACTTTCGAATCTTTAATTGAATGTGTTTCTTCCGGCGGGAGACTGCTGTAATGTTTCATTGGTGGCTGAGTGCTTTGCTAATAATTTAAATGGAATTTGGTTCCACGGCGGCTTTTCGTATTTCCTCCCTCGTCCTCGTCCTCGCTCTCAAATCTTACAAATCTCCCTCATCGTCCTAATTGCTGATGATGACCCGCTGTAGGGCAGGGAGATAGGAGATAATGACACATTTTGCATCGATAACAATGAAAAGCCCAAGACATATTTTCCTTCATATTGATTTCAAACAGCAACCAGTCAGTCCCAGTTTGAGTTTGCATGCTAAGTGCAGGTCATGGGAACTCCAGCCCCCTCTAAAAACATCTTAAACTCATCATATTGACGTTTGTTGCAGCTCGGCTAGCAGCCCCCATCACGTGTCTGGATTTTGAGAAACACAGAACTTCACCTAAATCGCTTTGTTCAGCGCATTTTATAAAGATTTTAATTATCAGGGTTGTTTGTTTTAAAGTGAAGGAGGCATCCGTAATAATTCAAACTTGTACAAAACAGCTATAGAAGAGTATGCCCTGTAGAGCAGGCCTGTCATAGGGCCACTCTGAGTCTGCATGAATGATCAGACTGAATTCAGAGCACCACATCCAGCTACATACCAGCCGAGCCCCCAGTGTGACCGCTGAGTGACCGCATAGTGACCATTAGGAACGGACTGAACCACTGGGACGATCACTGTTTGAACGCAGTCTGTTGTCTCTGCAGCAAAGTCAGAGCTGCAAGAAAGTGTTCCAAGAGAACATTCATTGACAGAGGCCGCAGTCCTGGATGCAGCGGCCTCGGGGAACGAATCCGACCCTTGGCCCCTTGTCACTGCCTCCTCTCTCCTTCCAAATGCCCATGTCTCTCTACGCTGTCCTATCAATGACGGCCAAACGACCAAGAAAGAGAGAGAGAAAGCTGAAGAAATCTTCGTATAGAAATAAGCTGAGTTTAAGAATTTCTTAATTCAAACTAATGAACCGTCTGATTTCTGCAGACCTCAGTCATGCTCTAAAAGATCAGAATCAGAATCAGCTGATTCTGAAATATAGCAGCATTATCACATTTTTTAATGTATCCATAAAGTCAGCGTAGTCGAAGTTATGATGGAAATGTTAGCGTTCTGCCCATCACTAACCCTTCATCACTTCAGACTACGTGTAACTTGGTTTCGTTTCCTCATTCTCCACATCCAGCCGAGGTCTGGAAGCTTCTCGGCACTTTCTCTTCTAACGAGGAACCTTCGTAGCTCTGTTGTGTTTGCATGAAATTTGCTGTTTTTCTCCTGCTTTTTTGCTCGTTTGTTTTCATCCCCAGAGGGGGTCGATTTCACAATCATATTCATACGCAGTCAGGAAAACAAACCATGCCTTCCCCACAACCTCCCCCACCCACACATCTCTACGAGAGATGAGTAATAAGAAAGAAATAATGTCTTTTATGAATCTGGGTTCTTTTAAACAGAGTTTCTCTTCCGTGCAGCAATATGTTTGTGCCACAGCAACAACAACAGCATGTGTTCGTGTTGATCGTTCAGCATCTGTGCAGACTGTAGCTTTTGATTCTCCTTCTGCAAAAACAAATACAATGTGGCAGACTGAGATCTTGGAAAGGTCTGCTGACACTCAAACATGGTGCAGAAAGCCGTATGTGAAGCATATGCACGAGTGTCAGGACTCTAATCTTCTCCCCAGCCTCTCTGTTTGAGTGTTTGGAGCCCAGAGGCAGGTTTTACTGCCTCAAATCAATGAAACACTGCTCTGATTTGAGTTGTGGTATTGTTGCAGCTTGGTATTATCTTTAGCTTTGCACAACTGTACAATCACTTCAGGGTGATGCAGGGAAACGAGCAGTTTAACCGAGCCTCCCCCGCTCTCTCATCGTCTCTTTGCGAGCCCTCTTCACATCCACAAAAGCAGAATAGCTTCAGCTACAAAATATTTCACTTCTCTCCTTGACTGATTGAAGGATATAAATGGTTCCTACCTGCAGTGTATTAACTGTTTTTCACAACACAAAGTCGTTTTTTTTTTCCCAGTTTAATGGTCAATAAATCACTTGATCCTCACTCGACCCACAGCTGACTTTATCTGAAAACATGTGGATGAACTTGAGCGTCCGGAGCAGTGGCCCTGTGGGCAGCAGTGAACCTGCAGTTTGAGGTTAAGAGCAGGTAAACAGTCGGCTCGTATTTAAATCATAGCCAGCGTTGTTATTATTGAAGGGGTTTGCACAGCTTGGTTTGCTCTGGCCGAGAGTAACGCTGGAAAAAAAAACAGGATGCAAATAAATATTCACTGTTCTGTGAGTGGAAAAACAAAGAACCTGGACACAGATGTTGACTCCTTCACTTCGTTTTTTAGACTGACTGTTTTTTGCAGCACAGACGAGAACGAGGTGTAAGAGCGAGAGACCTCTGGCTGAGATATGATGTCTGTAGTGTTGCTTAATTAAACAGACTGAAAGTGTGTTTGGTTGTTAATTATACAGCAGACCATGTATGTGTGTGTGAGTGTGTGTGTGTGTTGCAGTGAAGCCCCTGGGGAGGACATGCGAGGTCAGAGCAGCTGGATGCTTCACATCTGTGTGCCAGGGTACAAAACAACCCTGATCTGAACTCTAAGTGAGATCAGCCAGGAGCGCCGGGTCGGGGAACTGAACCCAGTCTGCAGCCGTCGAGTTAGTTTGCTCAAATGTACCTTTCTGGAGCTCTAACCTTCCCCTCAGCTCACCCTGGGTTACTCCACTTCAGTTTGTGGCGTCCTACATTTCCCAAAATGCCTTTCAGCACTCGTTAGAGAAAGGTCAGAATTGTTGTTGCCATTTTGAGGGAGCGCAGAGTTTTTTAATGTCCTTATTTCACACCAGGGTCCTTTCTTAAACAGGTTTTTAAAAGGTTTTTGTTCTTGAAGCAGCTGCAGAAAATGTAATGTTTCTGTCACTAAGATTTAAGCAGCCCTGGAAGCAATGTGTGGGAAGACAGACAGAAACAACTACTGTCAGCTGCTTTATGAAGAGATGCAAGTTTTGAAGCCATTCGTGAGAGCCGACATGTCACATTTCACCACACATGGGGACTTGGATTGTCAAGCCCCACTGGCATCTGAACGCCCTGTTGGTGGCTGAAGTAAATTTTTTGTTAGCCTGAATAAAAGTCGTAGTAACACTCATGACACTAAAATGTTAATATTTAACACAAATTAACACTGCAAAGCTAATTCAGGGGATCATCTGTTTAACTATTGTTATCAAAGTGCTGAGTCATGCACGGGGCTCAGAGGGATCGTATAAAGTCACGTGTCTTGGCATAAGTGTAAATTCTCTATCTCACTCGCATGACACTGGTCAGTCCGTTTTATATGTTTCATCATTGTCGGTGGAAGTGGTAGTTATTTTTCAAAGCTGCTGGATGAGGTTTATATGAAGGTTTTGCAGTCTTGTGTCCAAACACCGAGGCATTGTGGTTATACCCTGTTGTGGATTACAGACCAACAGTAAAAGTGGAATCCTCCCGATCGTCAACGTTGACTTTTGGTAACGTATCGGAATGTATCTCGGTCTACTGATCGACAGTCCTGACTGAACCCTCCCATAACCGCCCCTGCAAACCTTCTGACTGGATGTATCTTGTGTCAGACGACAGAAAAATCCTTCCAACTTGAAAATACAAGTTTGCATTTAGTGCTTATTGGAAACAGTGGATTGGCCTCTTTGTGTAGGATAACAGATATAATAATTGTGTGACTTTTTCTTGAACTGCACTGAGATCAGGTTGCAAATTAAGAGTTAAACATGATGTCTCTCAGTTCACTTCAAACCAGCTTACAGACCATCTACATCTGCTTAGATGGAAATCCAGTGTGGGATATTTTTCCATCAGTAGATGCATGGTGTGTCGCTGAAGGAACATTTCATTTTCTACAGTTCCATGACTCCTGAAGCCTCCTGAAGGAGTCAGGTGTAGTGTGAGGGTGGGACGCCATCTGTTCCCTGCATGAGCTCTCTTTGCTCAAAGTGTCGAAACAGAGATGAACACCAGAAATTCTTCCTTCAGACTTTTTTTTATACTTTTGGGAGACTTAGAGGCATAAAGACTCAGGGTCACTTTGTTTATTAACGTTGTTTTTAATTCCTCCTCATTCTTCACTTCCAGCCTGGTGCTTTCTCAGAGTGCCAATCTTTTAGTAATGCTAACCTTTATTTAGCATGCACAGCTGCCCGCCTCGCTCCTGTCCCCTCGGCCATCTGTGCAGATCCATGCAGCGCCACACACACTCTCTGCTCCTGTGTTTTCTGTTGTCCTCTTGTCCAAAAATTAGGAGGCAGGAA